TCTCTCTCTCTCTCTCTCTCTCTCTCTCTCTCTGTCCCTCTCTGGTCAAATGAAAAATAAACAAAGAAATAAGATGAAATAATTCTTAAAAACACTTTGGGTTTCTGAAATCCCAACATGAAGTTACACAAAAGTTAAATTCCGGAGAAGTTTGTTTCTATGGCATTTTGTTCTTTTTGTTGTTGTTTTTGTTTTGTTTTTACTTTAAACGCTGCTGCTCCTGAAAAAGCAACTTCCTGGGTTTTCTTTTTCCTCCTACGGTTTCGCAGCGGCCCGGCCGCTTCCTGCCCGAGCGGCTCTGCCAGGCCCCAGGGCGCAGGCCCCAGCCTCCCGCCGCCCGCCTGCGTGCACTTTCTGCCTTCCCAGCAGATCCTGTGCGGAGGCTCCCGGCGTTTGCAGCGCGGGCGCGGCGCGCATGCGCGGCCGCGCGGGAGGAAGCGGGGTCCCTGGGAGTCGTCGAGCGCGGCCAGCGTGTCCGCGCAGTCGGCTTGCAGCGGGCTGCGAGCGGCGAGCGCGGCTTTGTCCTCGGAAATGTGCTCCGCGCTTGCCCTTTTCCCTCCGTGTGTGTTTCAAAGAAAGACTCTGCAGAGACTCTGAAACGATCTTGTAATGCTCGATTGAGGATAAACCCGTACGCCCTTGAAGGGTTTTGTGTGAATTCGATTTTTTTTTTCTTTCCTTTTTCGTGTGCGCGCGTGCGTTTTTGTTTTATTTTTTCCCTTTCCACTTCTGCATACTTTTGTTTTGACCATTCGAGGCAGGGCCTCTGTCTTCGTGAAGTTTGAAGAGAAGAGCCAGGAGCTACTCCGCCACCGTCGATTTTTGAAACTTAACTCTTTTGGGGGGGCAGAGGCAAAGAGCTGGTTTTCTTTGCTTAGGCCAATAAATGCTGTTGATGAAAATGGACCTGTTGAACTACCAGTACTTGGACAAGATGAACAACAATATCGGCATTCTGTGCTACGAAGGTACATGTTCTAGAAATTACTGCTCTTGGGTTTGTCGGGGGTCACTGCGCTGCTCCTTTGGGGAGGGGTCTGATTGCTTTCTGAGCCTGCTCTCTTTCTCCGGATAGTAGAGTGCTGGATAGGCAAGCGTTTATAGAGGGCTGTTTCCACTCGAAGTTACTTTGTATCTAAGTCTTCCCGGTTTCAGTGGAGAGGGCCTGCGGGGGAGGCTGTTCACGTACGCTGTTAAAAGTTACTTTTATGCTTGCAACATACTAACTCTTTACATTTTTAACTCTCTAAACAGATTCTGTAGTCTTTTCCTTGGTTTTCTTTTTTT